TTTGAATAATAGTGATATTAATTGATCTTCCCTGTAGGTGCATGGATATTATCCTATCACAGACAATGTTGTACCTCACGACTGATCTGGTAATGTTCTTTTTGACAATGAATGCAACACCATTCCTCTTCAATTTGTCATTCCTGGCATAGTGAGCCATATGGTTGTAAGATTCAAAATGGCCAATACCAGTCAATTTCAGCTCACTAATGCCTAAGATGGAGTCCTGGTGTAGTGCCGTGGGATAATGCGCCAGACTGCAGAGCCATTTGAACTGTAAGGCAGCAGTTCAAACTCACCAGCTGCTCCTTGGAAACCCTATACAGGGTCGCTATGGGTTGGAATCAACTCAACAGCACTTAACAACAACAACAACCATGCCTAAGATATTGATGTTTATGCATTCCATTTCATTTTTGACAATTTCTAATTTTCCTAGATTCATACTTTATGCATTCCATGTTCCGATTATTAATGGATGTTTACAGCTGTTTCTCTTCATTTTAAGCTGTGCCCCATTAGCAAATAAAGGTCCCATGGGCTTTTCTCTCATGCTTAAAATCACTATGAGTTGGTACCGACTTGATGACACCTAACAGCAACAACAATGAGTTGGAACCGACTCCACAGCACACAACCACCACCACCAGTGTTGATCCTACAGTGCCACACCAAGAGTACAGCTAGGTCTTAGGGAAGGCCTAAATATCCCTGATCGTAGAGGGTGTGTTTGCGGTGTATTTCAATGAATCAACAATTCAAAAGGGGACTATGGTAAGAGGGCTTTATCAGATAAGTCCAATCACATTGAAAAAACCTACAGTCAGGAAGTTAGTCAAGTAGGCAGGAAGAGACTTACAGGGCTTGTTCAGGGCTTGTTATGATCATGCAGCCTTGTTTGGTTGAAGAATAAGGTACATGTTGAGATGAGCTTGCAGATAACTGAAATTGTGAAAACAAAATTTAAGAGTAGAAACTAGAAAATGAATACCATCATGTCTTTTGAAGTTTCCCTGTGACTTGTGCCATCTTTAGCCAAGTGACTTGTCTCTTGCCTTTGACCAGTGGTAGGTTTAAGAAGGAAGGGCAGGCAGAAATAACCAGTAGAGAGAAACACAGATCTGTTTTGCAATGGAAGTGAAGGGTCCTTGCAGTAGTTCTGTTGATTTATTATCTTCTCTCCTGACTTTAGGATTCCGTTTGCTTTTTCCTTTTGTAAGTCTCAACTGGTGACTCGCAAAGCATTGAAATAACATTATACCATACTGTAATAAAAGTAGAATAAACCCCTAAATCCACTGAAACTATGGTTTTGTTTGATGGGATCTCATGGAATGAAGCAACAAAACTAAACACTGAATCAGATTTCCTCCGTTGGCCTTTCCCAGTAAGTCAAAATCAGGTACGCTGATGATCCCCAGATACAGGTCCAGAGACGAACCAATTAAGGAAATATGTCAGCAGCTTCTGTTCTTCCATCTGTCTGTTTAAAATTAAGTCATTTACCCAGATTCCATTCATTTGCCCAAACATACTTTGATTCAATGAAAAGTCATTGAGCACTTCAAAATATCAGGCCTTTGGCTTGGTTCTGGAGAGACAAAGATGAAATAGAAATACTTTCATGAGCCATTCAAGAACCTAGAACCTGGAATCCCCATGGATGACATGTATTCCCTTAAGACCCAACTCTTCTACCTACTTTCCATGCTGATTATGACTTAGACTGGGTGTCTTCTTAGGTGTCTATTGCCTAACTCCTTTATCTAGGCTCACCCTTTTCAACCACGTTTAGGATTTGTCCTAAACTCCATCCACTGCCTTTAGTACTTTCTTGATCTGGTATGTAGTTCAGGAGTCAGGTCTCTCCCTCGTCTGCTTTGTGCTTCTGCGTATAGTTCCATTGTGTCTGTGACATTATGCTGTGACAGCCACTTATTATTCATAAAACTTAGTTGCCAATCATTGTTAACCAAACATAGACTCCATGAAGATAAGTGCATCAAAATGTGTAATGTAGAAAAGGATAAAGTTGGTCTTTTTTCTTAAAGAAAAAAGACCATTAAGACAAAGAAAACCTTTTTTCAGGACTTTGAAAAGAATCATTAATGAATGCGGTACTCTGTTTGACCAGAGGTCCTCATTTTCTTTGAATCAGAATTGCTGAATGCTTCTGTGGTTTGGCTTCTTTCTTTATTTCAGAAACCTCAGACCTTTGAATCATGTCAAGATATCTGTCTGGGGAAGAATAAAATGCCTTTCTTCTGAGTGACCTATCAGTCCCAGACATTAATGATCTGAGCCTAATGCTGTTGTAAAGAACTCATGAAAAAGGAACCAATGATAGTTGGGAGCACTTCCAAGATTTTACTTCTTTAAAAAGCCCCAGCTATAGATTGCTCTAGGCAGCAAGGCTAACAATCATCGGAAGACTGGCAAGAGAAGACTTTAGAATCTGACAGCTGACTCTGGTGTGAAGTTAATTGTTCCCTAAAGTTCCAGGGTCAAGTAACTGGATTCTCTCTTCTGCAAATTCAACTTCCAAGTGGTTCAGTGAAACCTAGATAAAACAAATGGGAAATTGCCAATTTAATTTTTTTGAAAGTCTTTTGACTAATATTTATTTTCCAAGAGGAAGAAAAGCGATGCTGTTTCCTTACTCAGCTAGTGTACTACCTAAGAATGAGATGGACAAATATGAATGGTCGAAGGAACTGAACCTTTCCTTCTTGCATGAAAGGATTTGTTTTCCTCTGTTGTTTTAAAGTCAAGAAACCCTGGTGGCACAGTGGTTAAAGTGCATGAATGCTAACCAAAAGGTTGGTTGTTTGAACCCATCAGTTTACGTTTACAGGAGAAAGATATGACAGTCTGCTTCTGTAATGAGTTGTTGTAGTTATGTGCCGTGGAGTCAGTTCCGACTCATGGAGACCCTGTACAGGCTTACGAAGGCTGTAAATCTTCACGGGAGCAGAAAGTCTCCTCTTTCTCCCGCATAACAGCTGGTAGTTTTGAACTGCTGACCTTGCGGTTCACAGTCCAATTCATAACCACTACACTACCAGAGCTCCTTACTAGAGAGTACACTCTTGGAAACCTTATGGGACAGTTCTACTCTGTCTTATAGGGTTTTGATGAGTAGGAATTGATTCAATGGTGGTGGTTTTTGGGTTTTTTTTTTTTTTGGCGGGGAGCAGGGTTGTTTTTAAGAAATGGTGTATCCAAGTTTTCCTCTTACCTACATGGTGTATTTTCCACAAAATATACAGAGTGTTCTTTTAAAAATTGAGTCTGATCATGTTACATGTGTGTTCAAAATTCTCTGGTGTTTTCCCATCTCCCTCAGAATAAAATCCAAAAGTCCATCGAATGGCCTAAGTTCCTTACTTGGCTTATCCCTGCTGGCTCCTTTATTTGCCTATTATCTGTTTCCAATCTCTACCTTTGACACATTAGGTATAGTTGTCCTTTGAAAATATTTTTTCTGAGATGTCACTGCTCAAAATCCTCCAGTGGCTCCTGAACTCCCCCGGGGTAAAAGCCAAAACTTTTAAAGGACGAGCCCTTAAAGATCTTGCTCTTTTACCCTCTAAGCATTAGTATTGTTGTTAGGTGCTGTTGAATTGAGTTTTGACTCATAATGACCCCTTGTAACAGAGTAGAACTGTCCCATAGAGTTTTTTTCTTTTCATTTTTAAAACTTTTGCTATAGTTGAGAAGATACATATTAAAACACATCAATTCAATCATTTCTACATTCTTCTGGTTATGCACTTATTCTTATGCTCCTTTTCTGAATTATTCCTTGCTCATAAACACAAATTTACTGCCCGTTACGAATTGGGCTGCAAACTGCAAGGTCAGCAGTTCCAAACTACCAGCTGTTCCGTGGGAGAAAGATGAGGCTTTCTGCTCCTGTAGAGATTTTACAGCCTTGGAAACTCCGTACAGGGTTGCTATGAGTCGGAACCAACTCCACGGCACATAACAACAATGATGTTCTTGCAATCTGGTGCGGTGGGTTAATGCTCCAGACTGCAAAGCCATTTGAATTGCAAGGTCAGCAATTCAAGCTCACCAGCTGCTCCTCAGAAACCCTATACAGGGTCACTATGGGTTGGAATTGACTCAATGGCACTTAACAACAACAACAAATGTTCTTATATAATTTTCTGAGTTGGTGTTGTCACTTTGTGAGTCCATATCACTAGTTCTTTAAAGAGACTCAAGGTAGATCTTTTCTTATGAACTAAGCTGATCATTGTTTGGTTTTTAAGAAGACTTCAGGGGATATTTTGGTTTAAAGTTTAATGATTAGCTCAGAGCAATAGTTTCAGGGGTTTGTCTACTCTCACGGTTGCAGAAAATCTAGAGTCTATGAGAATATGAAATTCTGTTCTTCATTTTATCCCCTTTGGCCAGGATTATTTTATACAATCTTTGATCAAAGTGTTCAGTAATGTTAGCCAGGCTCCATCCACTTCTGGTCTTATGGTAGAGGTGGTAGTTGTTGGTGGAGGCAATTAGCCACACATTCATATCCTCCTCCTATTATGAACTTTCCTTCTTCCATTGTTGCTTCAGGGGAACAGAGACCACTTTCCATGCCTTGAATGCCTGCTTGCAAGCTTCATTGCAAGCACTATGCAATGAAGTAGGAGGTAGAGCAGAAGCAGTAGACATGTTATTAGGCCAATTAGCTGGGATGTCCCATGAAATCATGACCCCAAACTTTCAAACCAAGCAACCAGATTCCATGAGCCTTTTGGCTATTCATAAGTAATCATAGTTATTCCTTTATTTATTTATTTTTTTTACAGACAAAGTGGTTTATTTGCTAAGGTGTAAAGAGGAATTCTTAATCCATCTTCTCTTGATTCCGGTGTATGAGCTGAACTGTGGGCACCAAATGGAGTGCAGCACACTGAGTTCCCTTGAAGACCTGGATCTTTTTGCAAATGGAAAGATGCCTGAGTCACATGACTTGTGATCACTATTTCCTAGACAGAAGTGCCAACAGTGGTGCTTGCCTGGGGCTCGCCAGTGACTACGTTCTCCTTCTTGTCTTCGGGTTTCATGGCAGGAAACAGAAGCACTTCCTTAATGTTATTGGAGTCTGTGAGGAACATGGTGACACGGTCGATGCCCATGCCCCAGCCAGCTGTTGGAGGAAGGCCGTATTCCAGAGCAGTACAGAAGTTCTCGTCTATGAACATGGCCTCATCATCACCAGCAGCCTTGGCCTTGGCCTGTTCTTCAAAGAGCTGCCGCTGCCGCACAGGGTCGTTCAGCTCAGTGTAGGCATTACATATTTCCTTCTTCATGACAAAGAGCTCAAAGCGCTCCGTCAGACCCTCTTTAGAGCGGTGCCATTTGGCCAAAGGGCTCATTATCTGAGGGTGGTCACAGATGAACGTGGGATTGATGCAAGTCACTTCCAGGAAATCACCAACAAGCTTATCAAGGAGCCTGGCTGTGGTCCGAGGGGGGGGGCATTCAACACTTTTAGCTATGCAGATATCATCAAGGATTTTGCGAGTTTCTTCTGTCTTAAAGCGGTTCCTTTCTGGCAGCTTGACCCCCAGGGCTCTCTCCAGCTCATCCACCATGCTGATCCTTCGGAAGGGTGGGCTGAAGTCAATCTCATAGGCTGGACCCTCTGGGCCCTCTGGATGGTAAGTGACCTTGTAACTATCGGTGATATGCTTCACCATCCCTGAAACCATCTTCTCTGTGATTTCCATGAGATCATGATAGTCGGAGTAGGCCATGTAGAATTCACAAGTGGTGAACTCGGGGTTGTGAGTCAGGTCAATTCCTTCGTTCCGGAACTGACGTCCGATTTCATAAACCCGGTCTAGGCCACCAACTACCAGCATCTTATGGTAGAGTTCTGGAGAAATTCTCATGTATAAATTCATGTCGAGCTCATTGTGGTAGGTGATGAAAGGCTTGGCCACTGCTCCCCCGGGGATGACGTTCATCATGGGAGTTTCAATCTCTAAGAATCCCAACTCATCCAAGAAACTTCTTATGTATGTGATGATCTTGGAGCGGATGATTAATTTCT